AATGTTTCCAGCTTGCTGATTTAAACTTGATTGACAATTTAAATTGCTTTGATTTAAATCAGTCCACCATGATTAATAGAGTCCTGTAAAACTGAACTGAACAACTAGGTGATGGACTGCATGATCTAATTCAGTGGTTCTCAAACTTTAGCAACCCAAGGACCCCTATTTTGATTTAAAAATTTTGGCGGACCCCAAACCCTTCCTGCTCATCCCCAGGCCCTGACCCCACTCCACCTCTTCCCCCAGGCCCACCCCTGGCTCACCTCTTCCCGCCCCTGCTCCACCCCTGCCCTTTCTCTTCCCCATTCTTTACGCATCTTCCCCTGAGCGCACCTCGTCCCCGCTCCTCCCCCTCCTTCCCAGTGCCTCCTGCACACTGGGGAACAGCTGTTCCCTGGCGTGCAGGAGGCACTGGGAGGGAGGAGGAGGAGTTGAGGGAGGAAAGAGGAGGAGTTGATCACTGGGGACCATGGACCCCAGTTTGAGAAATGCTGATCTAATTGATCTTTTCTAGTTTTAATTTCTATTTCTTCCAAACATGAGTAGAAATCCTATTAATATTAATAGGAAATACACATGTATGTCGAGAAGACAATCGGTCTCTCCTGCAGCCTAGATTAAATTTATATTATATAAATTCTTAGAAAGTTTACATGTATTTACATTTGCAACCTATATTAGTGTATCTGACTTTCATAATGAAGAATCACAAATTCATACCAAATCTCAATGCATAGAAGCCAGCAACTACCACCACATCAGCAACTACACACCACACCACAGAAACACTAACCCAGGAACAAATTCCTGTAACAAACCCTGTTGCCTACTCTGTCCCCATATCTACTCCAGCAACACAATCAGAGGACCCAGCCACATGAGCCACAGCATCGGGGGCTCATTCACCTGCACATCTACTAATGTGATATATGCCATCATGTGGCCTTAGAGGTTTTTAAGATCAGGCTTGACAAAGCCCTGGCTGGGATGATTTAGTTGGGGATTGGTCCTGCTTTGAGCAGGGGGTTGGACTAGATGCAGGGACGGCTCTAGGTTTTTTGCTGCGGGTATGTGTGGGGGGGAGAAGAGCCCAGGGCTGGGGGGGGCAGGAGATGCAGGTGGGGGGAGAGCCCAGGGCTGGGGCAGCAGAGGGGTG